AGCACAAAGCTGGGCTGTTTGACAGCTGGGTAAAAATGAGCCAGCAGTGTGCCCAGGCGGCCAAGGAAGCCAACAGCATCCTGGCTTATATCAGGAATAGTGTGACCAGCAGGAGTAGTGAGGTGATTGTGCCCCTGTATTCGGCACTGATGAGGTCACACCTCGAATACTGTGTTCAGTTTTGGGCCCCTCAGTACAAGAAGGACATTGAGGCACCGGAGCATGTCCAGAGGAGAGCCACGAAGCTGGTGAGAGGTCTGGAGCACAAGTCTTCTGAGGAACGGCTGAGGGAACTGGTATTGTTTAGCCTGAAGAAGAGGAGGCTGAGGGGAGACCTTATCGCCCTCTACAATTGCCTGAAAGGAGGCTGTAGTGAGGTGGGTGTTGGTCTCTTCTCCCAAGCAACTGGTGATAGGACAAGAGGAAATGGCCTCAAGTTGTGCCAGGGGAGTTTTCAATTGGATATTAGAAAAAATTTCTTTACTGAAAGCATGGTCAAGCATTGGAACAGGCTGCCCGGAGAGGTGGTTGAGTCACCATCCCTTAAGGTGTTCAAAAAACGTAACAGTTCCCAAGCATATATTGGAAAGTAGTTATTGAGAACTTAGAGAAGGTGAGATTCTGCTGTTCATGTATTCGTTTTGGTAGTATGAATACTTTGGTGAGAAAGAGAGGAAACATCATCCCAGCTATGTTCATGTGGGGATACCATGTTCCAATGTAAAAAACAATCCTGACCTTTAAAAGGGAGGAGTGCAGTACTGCCTTTTAAATACTAGATATTAAGGTATTATTTTAAACATTTTTCATAATAGGGTATGGTTTTACACTCAGTTCTGTTTGAAGGTAAGGAATGGCCAGAACTTTAACTTGGAATATTAAGGAAATATTTTCTGTGCCTGTTACTGCAATTTCAGACCTAAGAATATGGGTCACGTGATGTCAATTTTTTTGCTTGTAATATGTTTCTCTCTTTTTATCTCTCAAAAAGAAACATACTCTGTGGTTTTCTTCATTTCTAAAAGAAGAAAAATAACAGAAAAAGGAAAGTAAATGAACAGATTTCTAAGCAGTCATATGGTTTCAGTTTAATTTTTCTTCTGATTTCAACACACAGGCAAACTGCTGTCACTAAGTGCCAAGCTGCTTGATCACAGGGCTGACTAGCTGTTACGTTTTTTGTCTGTCATAGTAGGTATCTTCTTGTATCAACTTCAGATGTCAGCAACGAGAGCCCTTGCTCTTTCAGGAAGTATAAAGTTGGAAATGACCATCTGCTCAGCCTTCTGTTTTCTGAGTTCTTCTCTAGAAATAGTTTTCAAGAATATATTAAGAACTGCAAAGAGATAATGCATAAGATGTTGGTAATATAATGTTAACCCTTTCCTTTAACTTCATGAGGCATACTTTTGTTAGAGACACTGAAACAATGAAAACCAAAAGGAGTTTTATGGTTTTATGTAGTTCACAGTAATTTGGTTTACAGCATTGAGTTATTTGGCACTACAATTCATTACCTTATAATTAAATGTTTTCTTTATATTTTTAAAATGTTTTTAGGATGATATTTCCAATATTTAAGATCCTTTTGATGTTCTGTTCTGTCGTGGTTTAACCCGGCTGGCAAGTAAGCACCGCGCAGCTGCTTGCTCACTCCCCGCTTCCCTCAGTGGGATGGGGGAGAGAATCGGGAAGAAAAAGAAAAAAGTTAGC